GTCTACGCACTAAGCTCAGTAGCTTCCTAGCCGCATCGTCAATTAGCCAACACGATGTCATTTGCATTACAGAATCTTGGCTGCACCCCTCTATACATGATGGTGAAATATTATATTCTACTTATACTATTTATCGTAAAGATCGCAATTCTTTGTTAAGCGGATATGAGCGTGGCGGAGGTGTATTCATAGCTATTAAACGCTATATTGAAGCTGAAGTTATTCCATTAGTTGACGACGGCATTGAGCAAATATTTGTTAGAGTTAAGGGTAATAACTGGGATACTATTATCGGCTGCGTTTACTTACCCCCGCACACCTCCTATGAAACTTACATAACGCATTCGTCAACCATTTCATTTATTTCTGATAAATTTCGAAATGCAAAACTTTTGGTTGTGGGCGACTTCAACTTGCCTAGTAGCTCACCTAGTAATAACTGCACGAATCTACTTTATGACTGCTATTCTTCGTCCGGCTGCAAGCAGTGTAATTGCATTCTTAATGCACAAAACAATACACTGGACCTCTGCTTCAGTGATATCGACATATCGCCTAACATCACTCCAGCTCTCGTTCCAGAGGATAAGTATCATCCTGCTATGGCGGTTGAGCTTGATTTCAAACCCAGCCTAACTCCAGATGCATCGCCGATCTATGTTTTCAAAAAAGCAAACTATATAAATTTGAACGCATTCTTCTTGAGGACAAACTGGGTGGATCTATACAAACAAGAAACAGTTGACGATTAACTTGACTGGCTTTATCACAAAATCTACGAAGGTGTCTCCCAGTTTGTTCCGGTGCACTCCAACAAGTCGAGAAACTTCCCTTCCTGGTTTTCTAAAGAACTGGTAGAGAAAGTGAAACTCAAAAAGGCGGCACACACACTCTATAAGAAACGAAAAACAATGCTAAATTATACACGTTTTAGTAACCTTAGGCTGGAATGCAAGAAGCTAAGTACCGAGTGCTATAGAAGTTATATCGATAGAGTAGAAAACTCACTGCAGTCCAACACCAAGGCGTTCTGGAATTTTATCAAAAACAAAAAACGTAGCAATGGCGAGGTACCATCGACCATGGTGTGGGGCAATCAATCAGCTAATACTGGAACCGAAATCAGCGATCTTTTCGCGACATACTTTCAAAGCACATACGCATTAATCGCCCAAAACACCACTCCTTATCTGAATCTTACCGAACAGAGTGCTTGCATAAGTGACTTTAAGGTGACTTACGATGATGTATTTAAACAGCTGAGCACATTAGACCCCAATAAAGGCGCTGGACCTGTTGGAAACTGTCATATATTAGCCCCATCCATAAGGATGGACCAAGATCATCAGTCTCGAACTATCGACCGATTTGTATCCAGTCCGCATTGGCAAAACTTTTTGAGAAGTTAGTACTACCGCAACTCTCAACTTCATTTACAAATATTATAACCAGTAAACAGCATGGATTCATGTGCGGCAGATCCACTACAACCAACCTTTTCACATATACTAACTATATATTCAATGCCATGAATTCTGGTGCCTGTGTCAATGGTGTCTATACTGATTTCAGTAAGGCCTTTGATTGCGTCGACCATAACATTTTACTGAATAAATTGAGAAACTATGGAGTCAACGGAAATGCTCTTAACTGGCTAAGCTCGTACCTTATAGGCAGACACTTGCAAGTCAGAGTTGATGGACATCTATCTTGCAATTACGAGGTTAGGTCTGGTGTTCCTCAGGGCTCTCACCTCGGCCCTATCTTGTTCAACATTTTCGTCAATGATATCGGTTGTGGTTTTAAATCAGAATACCTGTTTTTTGCGGATGATCTGAAAATATTCAGATCCATAAAAAGTACGTTGGACTCTCGCTCGACATAATGGGTTAGATTTCTATGGAGGCACATACAGCGCTTTTATCCATCAAAAATCATATTTTCTCTTAACAATAATAAATAAATTTATTGATACACATGTCTGTGCTACGAAATATTGTAAACTCTCTTCATATTTACTTAGTATTTTCACCCTCTGTGTAATTTTATACCGTTTATGTATAATGCCGTTTGGCGTATGATTAATAATAAATTAAATTATAGTAGTAATTGTTTTGCAAATTTTATTCTGAAAATCTTTCTATTGTAAAGGAAAAAGCTTCAGCAACTCTCAAAAAAAAATTCATCAAATTTCATCAAATGGATCGAGAGCTACGAATTTTTCTCGCAAAAACTGCAATATTCTTATAATACCCAAAAAAAAACAACAGAAACGAAGTGCAATTTCGAAAAACCTTAAAAAGTGTATTTTTGTTCTATAATTATCTACAGATTCCCACAATTGTCTATTGACACAGTTGGCGTGGTTTGACTCATATGGTAATGGAAATATGTTGACATCATTACCTTTCGTAAGCAGCTATTAGGAAATAGACCCAGAATCTGAAAAAGTTTCAACAAAGGATGCCAAAAGCAATTACATATGCGAGTGAATATGTAGGCTTGTATATATAAATGCATATGAGTTGGAGCCAATTAATAAAACCGTTACATACATATTTTCTAAACATATTTTATTATCAGCCCAATTCTGAATACTCCCAGGGAGTTTGTTCTCCGGGAATTTAGATTTTCGGGTATGCAGTTTTGTAGCCAGTTCACTTTGTCTGATTTTTTAGAATTTTTTTGTGGAGGGTGTTGCGCTTTTCTTCCCATATAAAATGCTTGTTTACTTTGTGCACAATTAGTCCATTCCTTTGAACATCGGACTAAAACCTGTGGAACTGTCAAACTACAATTTTACTCTCTCAAGTAAGGTCGGTGTTATGCAGACAAACTTTTGTTTGCCAAATTAAATGGCGGCTTCTTAGTTTGCTCGGAGGTGGTTATGTCGAGTTTGGCACAGGGTTGCACGTTCATTATGGTTTTCATGGCTATTGCCAACACGAAATGAGAATTTCAGATGTACATAACGCGCACAATTAATATATTTTTTATGATATCGTACAGGCAATTAACTGTGCCCTAATCTTTGAAGCTCTTAATGCATAAATTCAGTTCTCTGGCTTTCGGTATCACGGCAATTTTTGTGTATATCAACAATTGTCTAAAATTTTTGTATATGACAACACCGAATTTTCTGCAGTTTGACCAAACAAAACTAGTTTGCTGTGAAAGTCGCCAAACTCGCTCTCTGCGAGTTTGCTGCAACAACAATTGCACGCAGTTTGCCAAACAAAATTTCTGCATAACACCGACCTAAGAGTAAAAGGAGAACAAATGCAGAAGTGCACGGGAACGCCTAAGCACTATTTCCTGTAAAAACGTCAATCGGTTTGCTTACATGTCATTGGTACAACACTGATTTGGCTGAAATATCACTAAATAATTAATAAATCTATACATATTCAAATATTTCGTTGTTTACTTCCATTTTTTAACAAATATAAGGATCTTGCTTTCACCGCTTCCTGTTTTTGTTTGCACATGTAAATCAGCTGATCGTTTGACACTTTTCATGAACTCGCAGGAAAAAAACTCCGGACTAAATCCTGTAACTTCTAACTAGGAACAGTTGCTCAGTTACTGTCTCAAAAGTGTTCCCACTTACAGGTTTTATGTCAATGGTAGGTTTCACACTGGAACATTTCTGCCACCAGAACAACTCTGTTTGTTGGCAAGAGAGGCAGTGCGGTGAGGTAAAGTTTCTCAAAAAGTTGTTCCAGCTTCTACCCCGCATTAAAGTGCCAGTTCTGCAGCAGCGCACTAACACATGCGCAGCTACAAAAATGCCGCTACGCAACTTTCAAGCGCAGAAGTTACAAATACATTCAAACGTCCTGTACGTATACTCATTTTATTCTGCTAGTTTTCATCCAGTGTGAAGCCGTGAGAATAATTGTTCTGTCATTCTGGTGTGAAATAGCCCAATAGGAACGACTTCCTGTAAGTTCCGACTAAATCCTGTAAACTGGACTGCTATTGGAACAGACTAAATAATACAAGGTGTTGTTGGTTGGCAACTTCTCGCTCTAATTCCGCCATATTGACTGCCTTATGCCTGGGTTATAATGGAAGTAACGGAACGGAGTGAACTGTCACTTAATTACCTATTGTATGGGAAATGAATGCAAATGGTTATAATGCACGTAAACGTAACGTAAAACGGAACAATCTAAAATCAATAGATCCTTACGAATTCGCTGCGATTTGTAACGATTCGCCCCGTCCATTATAACCAAGGCATTCGCTGAAACAGTGTTACTTCTTTAACAATTATTTGCAATAATATAGTTGAATTTTTTTTTACTTTTTATCCGTATATATTTATTTCACCAAGGTATACACATTTTGTTTCCTCAAAAAGGTATTTTATCTTATTTTATTTAATTTCTTTACGAGTATACTATAAAAAAGCAAATTTTATATTTTTCCCCCAAATGGGGATTAATTTCTTCTCGTTTTTCTTCTTATTCTACCGAGCTAAGGCCCTGTCTCCACAGGAAAACACTCATGTCGTGATAACTATGTCATAAAATATATTTCCAATGGAGACCGCCTATTTCTCATGTGCTGCAATATATGTCAGCGCTTATTGCTTGACATCTATTGCAGGCAATTCGATAGTTTGACAGCAATATTTTCATTTGAAAGAAAGCGTGCTGGTGGTAACATCGATGAAATTTTTATATTAAATCAAAATAAAAGTCTGTTCCTTATTGGATTATTTATGATTACGTTTTAGGAAATTATTCAGCAAGTTTTTTAAAGATTTAAATGTTTTTAAACACCGAAATTGAGAGAATGTTGTCTGGTGGCGTCATGCGGCAAATGCTTATTTCAAGACATCAAAGTGCCCACACACAAAAACTTGCAATCACATTGCTCGTCAAACTAACAGTTGGTAGGCCATCGGTGTTTGCCTGTGGAGTTCTGCGGTAAGGCAGTGTCAAATCGAGCTGTCACATCTGATACCACCTTGTATTAGGAATGTTCGATATCGTATCGATTATTCTGAATATCGATATTTCATGGCATGATAATCGATTTTTTGAATCAATATTCCAAGGTCCATATATCGAAGACATCGATACTTTACCCGCAATTTCGATATTTAAGTTGAAATTTATTTTTCATCTACAAAAAGTGCATGGGAAAATACTAAAGTAGGTTTAATCAGCAGCTTGTGTGATTTATTTAGCTCTTAAGTTTGACAAACCGCTTGAGTCGACCGGCATGCCGTTTTAATCCTCAGTAAATATACAAGATAGAAATAACACAATTAGGTGAGTTGACAGGTAGGTCTTATATTCTATTCAATTGGGAGTAGGATTTTCAACATCGATTTTTCCGATATCGATATTGTTCAGCCCGATATAGCGCCATATCGATTTTACATGCAATGAATTAAATCGATTCATGATATCGATACTTTCTTAAATATCGAACATTCCTACCTTGTATTATTGCATCATGGTGTTCAATAACACAGTATATACAGTAACTAGCTTATACCCGCGGGTTTCACCCCGCGCTTTTATACAAATATGAAAAATAATTTAATGATGTTAGATTTTATTTCTGTGCCCATTTCGTTATAGCTCGTTATTTTTTAAGCGAGTTAAGGTATTTAGGCCGTTTAAAACTATGAAATTATAAAATCTCGTATGCGCGCTAGGCATACGAAAGATATCAATCTCTCTAAGTTTAAAGTGATTCCAGGTATACGACGCTTGAACGTGTAACCTTCTTGGAGGTGCCACGGCGGGTTCTAATATTTCCAACTCAAATTTAGTAACCTGGCCTTGATAAAATACCACTTCTCATTACTGTAGCAAATGCCTCAAGAGAGCTTTAGATTATAAGGCCGAACCCGGCGCTCCCTTTTCCATTTAGGGCCGTTTGCACCATGTCTAGTTAATTCTAACTCCCAGTTAAACATCTTTATCGACGTTATCGACACCCATCATATAACATGTGATCGATAAAGCAGTTAACGTGCTTAACTGAAGGATGTACCTCCAGTTAGCGTTAACTAGACATGGTTCAAACGGCCCTTAATGAAATTTATTCTGTCAGTACGGCACAAACGGCCCTTAATGAAATTTATTCTGTCAGTACGGCACTTATAAAATAAATCTCCATAACAAATTTAAAATACTTCCAGAGATATGTATTAAGAAGTTTTTAGTATGTATGGGAGGCGACATGCTTCCTTTTTTAATAACTCACATTTTTTCCATGAGCAATTGATACATTTTGTATACACAACTCCATACCAAGTTCCAGTATTCTTCCACAAACACTTCCAGGGATATGTGGCAAGAAAAAGTAAATTTGTACTGGAAGTGCCACGCCCCTTTTTCTTATAACCCTAATCTTCTTCCATGAATTTAGAATAGATTTTACATACCCCAGTACCAAGTCCCAGTACTCTACCATGAACACCTCTAGAGATAAGCAGTATAAAACAGTAAATTTGTACGGGAGGAACCATGTCCCGTTTTCGAATAACGCATATTTTTCTCCATGAGTATGGAATTAATTTTGTATACACATCTCGGTGCCAAGTCCTCTGCAATAAACACCTTCAGAGATATGCAGCATAGAAAAATATATTTGCATGGGAGTTGCCACACCACCTTTTCCAATAACTCTCATTTTTCTCCATGAGTATGGTATTAGTTTCACATACATACATACATATGTATTTCCATACCAAGCTTTAGTGCTTTACCCCAAACATTTGAAGAGATATGCAATATGAAACTTTCAGTCAGTATGGGAGGTGCTACGCCTCTTTTCCTAAAACGTCCATTTTTCTCCGCGAATATGAACATGATTTCACACAGTGTTGGCAAACTGTTAATCTGATTAACGGTTAAAAATTAACAATTAAAATGTTAATCGAGTTTGACGATTAATATTAATTAGTCGTAATCAACTGTACGATTAATGATAACATTTTTTTAATCCTTAATCGCTGGCTGCGATTACGTTTAATTAATTTAAAACATTAATCGTTAGTCCAATTAAAAAGCAAATCCGATTAATTTGTCTAGTTTGTCCGAGTTTGAAACCAGACACCAGTTATAGTAATTATTTTGTGTTTTACGCTTATAAAAAGCACATAATATAAAAAAATTATAATTATTGTTATTAGTAAAACATAAACTGGGAACTTTTACAAACCTAGTTTGTAAAACGTTTGTTGGTATATATCTTGATGAAAATGCACACCAAATTGCTTAGATTGATGAGGAAACCCGACTTAGCCATACCGGATTAGCTTGGTTTGTGTGCATAGGGAAATTCCAGCATAACTTAATTAATCACCAAACCTACTTGATCAAATTAAGAGTTAATGATTAAAAATTAATTTTTTAATCGCGGTTACAATTAATTAATTGTTTAGTCAGATTAAAATTAATGATTAACTGTAA